CATCGCTTCTAGTAACAAGTGCCTTACTAGTAGTAACAAGAAGCTATTAGACACATTAAGCTACTAGGAACAAGTGCATCGCTTCTAGTGACAAGTGCCTTACTAGTAGAAACAAGAAGCTATTAGAAACAATAAGCTACTAGGAACAAGTGCATCGCTTCTAGTAACAAATGCCTTACTAGTACTGTAGTAACAAGAAGCTATTAGAAATAACAAGCAACTAGGAACAAGTGCATCGCTTCTAGTGCTTCTAGTAACAAGTGCCTTACTAGTAGTAACAAGAAGCTATTAGAAACAATAAGCTACTAGGAACAAGAAGCTATTAGAAACAATAAGCTACTAGGAACAAGTGCATCGCTTCTAGTAGCTATCCGACCTGATGCTGCAACATGTTGACAGCCACCCGCTTGGCGAGTAACCTGTTGCTCGCTTGACATGTTTATGGAAGTCTTGCACAAGTATGCAGTAACTTCCTCGTGTTTTCTCAGGCTAAATCAAGACAAGAGTACAGCAAACATTTTCTGCTGGGGGTCAAGAATCTAGAACCACAAACAGCTCCAGCCTTCATCACGCTTTGGCAGGTCCAGGTTCAACTTTTTGAGATCTGCACTTTGTTGCAGGTCTGTCCTTATCAGTCAGGATTCACAAATGTTATATTTCCAGAGTCTATCTTCCCCTTACCATCGGTGCCCGTCCCTCTCTGCTTTTCGCTCGGCATTTCAGCAGTCTAGCTGCAAACCCATGACGGAGGAAACCGTTCATGTTCAGTGAGCCACCACTCCAGTAAAAAGGCACTAGCAACCTGACCCTTAAGCCTTAAACTTACACTGAAGTGTGCCAAGTCAAATTGTATCAAATTGTCCTTGTAGGTCCTCCTATGTCTTTCCAATCTGCCAAGGTTCAAGAAGTCTGCGCAGTCTGTGATTGTGCGGGTGATTGCAGTGCTCTCCCCCCGGCTGTGCAGCCAAAGCTTGAAGGAGCTCCTCTGCACGGCCATGAATCGGAAATCTGACAATGCCGAGTGCTCATTACTTGCATAGCGGGCAGTGGGCAACAATGACAACACCGAATACCATGCAGAATTGGCAACTAAGCCGCATCTGCCGGAAGCCATAGGGCGGCATATCCCAAGCCACGCAGATTTTTGAAGCCATTGCCTTCAACAGTTGAACTTCAACAAGTGTTTGGCAAAGCACGCAGTTTTGCAACCTACAGTATGTCTGCAAACAAAGAAATACACGCTTGAAAAACTGCCAAGCAAAGTGACGGTCTTCTCTTCAAGCATCCGCACAGCTCCAAGCTTTTCCCAAATATCTGCAGGAATGGGCCCTGCAAGAACGTGCCAGAGCATGGCAATGCTTTCCACTGCACTACTGTGCTAAAGCATGTCACAGCATGTCTTACTTGTTCTTATTATTGTTGCTCGACTGCCAAAACATCCAACAATCACCGAGTGCAAATTCAGCCCCATGGTTTTCACAGGCCTGCCATATCTGATAGGGTCTTGGCTTGAGCTGGTGATGGTAAACGAGGTGCCGACCCTCCATACTCCTGCGCACGCAATCCCTACTCTTTCTCTCTCTCTCTCTCACGGCTTTCCGGTCAATGTCCATCACAGCAAAGAAAACACATTGTACGGAGAGGGAACATGCATGGGTAGGACCCCGTGGGGAGGTACTGTATAGTATAGTTCGATAAATGTTCATTGTACTTCTATCATGCCACATGTACTCACATGTGCTCTGTGTAGGCTACTGTACAAGTCACTGCTGCGTCCTCTGGCAGCTTCTCATGCCCGACAAGCTGCCTCATGAGGTTCGGGACCTTGTCTGGCAGGACAAAGCAGGGACAAGAACTAAGATTGAGAGTTGATAAGTGTGTTATGCCGTTATGCAACTGTGCAATGAGGGAAAACATATACGACATGTTGAAACTGTTCTTTCATACATAAAGGGCGGTTTGATATCAGAAATACCAGCCCGACCTTCTTAGAGGTGTCGATGCCAACACCCTAGCCTACAAACATTGCAGCCGTGGTTCATCAGCTTCCTTTATCAGCTCCGTCTGTTCAGGCGCGACAAAAAGGAGACATCGTGCGTTTAGATCTTCAAGTCTTTGTGGCGTCGAGAATTGCCGATAAAAGCCAGGCCTTCTTGCGTGTTCGAGGCATCACCATTGGGCTGACAAGGGACCAAAGGCTTCGGACTGCCAAATTGACGCCTGCATTTGCATTCAGAGGAACGCCATAATGTTGATGACCGAAATCCTGCACCACCTACCTATAAGGTATCTTCAAATACCTTCAGGATTTCAAAAATTCACAAAAACGGATGCTTCCAGCATTCCCATGTGGTGCAGGATCTGCCAATCAACTTTCCCTTTGACTCTTGCAGGTGCTCACCATGTTGACAAATCAATCAGAACGGGGACTCGTCCCGCCTAGGACAAAGATTTGCGCAACACGATCAGGGTAATAGTTGTTGCTTTCCTGGGTGGTGACCAGATGTGACGAGGCAGGCAGTCCGGGTGTTTTATTGCGCTCAAGTGAGTTCTTCAAACTAAATTTGTACCACACCATTTCATGTTTGGACAAACCAAGCCTTTCAATCGCATGCTGAATGCTCAGCATGCTGTCTATATAAGCCTTTTCCACCCGTGAAACGCTTCAAAAGAACGCTAAGTCAGAACCATGTCACATGGATCATGACCTGGATTGCCGTCATGGAGAAGTTCCGGCGCGTGGCCCCGAGCACGTCCAACACAAGGACCTCAAACAGTTCACAATGTGTTGTCACAAGAAACTTGAGAATGTGCTGCGGAAAAAAAAAGGTAAATTAGATTAACTATTAGATTAGCAAAGGGAGCAATTAACAAAGAACCTTCTTTTCATCTCTTTGTTCTATTGCTTTTGGGCAACAATCTTGCAACTTTGGCAACTGCCAGTAGCAGTGCCCATTGGAACGGGTATCTTTCAACACGCCCTCACATCCCATCATAGCTGGGGGAGGCTCGGGGGGGGTTAGTGCTGAAAGCTGGAAGCTGCTTTCTGGTTGAGCACTCATTGGGAGGCATCATGGCTTTCTAGTTGTTTAACATAAACTCGCAAGTTCTGCTTCATCTGGGCGACGTATTGCTCAAAGGGATTTGTATCAGAAAGCTGCGGACGCCGCTTCATCAAGAGGTGTGCAATGATGCTGTCCACCATGCCCCGGTAAAAGGAGCGAAATGTCTCTGCCTCAGCCAGCCATAACCCACACGGAGGCCATGTTCTGCACTATCTGATCTATCTGTGCGAAAGAATGGGTATTCAATGGCAGGTAGGTACTCAGCAGGCATGGAGACACACAAAGCTTTTGAGCGTCATCATGCTTAAGGCCCTGAATCAAGCAAAGGCTCTGAGATCTGCGAATCAAAATACTTAGCACGCGCCACGATAATGGGACGGCCCATGACATCCTTGCACTTTGTTTGATGGGCTCTCAATCTAGTAAAAACAATCAATTTGCGAATCTATGATAATCTATGCATGAATCATCATGAATCACTGCCGGATGTCCTCGAAAGGAACGATCCCGAGGCCAGCCTTCAGCCAGGAATAGTCTGGCGGGGTTCCTGGCGAGCTCCAATCCATTAAACAATCATCCCACACCAACACCGTCTGTAGGCTCCAATGGCTCCAACTTTGGTTTTTGTAGCTTTCAACATGCTTTGCGAATCCTCCGCGCATCTCTCTGCGAAACTTCACGTAGTTCCGAATCAGCTGTAGAGCCCGAGCTTGGTGAAAGTCCACAGCAGTCAGAAATCGTGTGTAGAAGATCTCAGCTGAGTGCAATCCGAACATGCAAGGCTCACATGCTGAGCTAACAATGCAAAATTAACAGAAACGTCCTACTGTAGTTCCTCTTTTTTCTGTAGTCGTGTACTGCGAGCTTCTGTGCTTGACCTTGCGCCCTCTTCCCTTCAAGCAAAGGCTACATTGCCAATTAGACGCCAATTAGAACCACGAAGGAAGTATATATTTTAAATGACTGACGAACAAATGATGACAAGCTGCATCATCCAATGGTTCGTGCAGTCTCCATCCGCCTGTGACTGGCTCCTGCGTAGTGGGACATAAAACTTGAATACAGTGACACAACATGACACAACAACATTGACAACTACTCCAGCAGTGGACCCGGACTGCAATTCAAACTAAACCTTGCGCTGCGATCTCACGACAAGTACATGCTATCGTTACCTATCTTTGCAGGTCATAGGCTACTCAGCGACGTGCAATGCCTCTCTGTCAGGTTTTGGAAACATACATGGCATCTTTCTATGCCTTAGTTCACCAAACGGGCTAAGCCTAAGCGATGCTACGCCCATCTGACACCTTGTTGGATACCCTGTGAGGTCCACAGTCGCCTTTCGTAGCCATGATTGATCCCTTCTTCACATGACGAAACTTACACTGAGAAGGCCGCTCCATTCAGGACCCTCAGGACCGTGCTTTTTCAAGAGGCGTTCAACTATGTTAAACTTATGTGGCGCGCACAATCATTAACAACAACAGCTGCTGCAAGGCCACACAAGCACAGGAACAACCCCTCGCACAAGCAAGCTTTTGCATGTTTTCGTCTGCCCGGGCATGTCATTCTCACAATTTGTCTGCTTCTTACACCAGCAAACATCTCCTGAAGGTCTGCACAGGCTGCCCGCATTTGCCTTGACAAACTTTGCAAGCACAAATGGAGTTTCAAATCAAACCAGCCAACCTCGGGAGATTCAAGACCCTACACAGTGACACAAACATGACGACTATGACATACTATGACTATATAACAATACACTCATGAATCTGGGAAAAGAAAGGCTACAGCAAGGCTCTGCAAAGGCTCACCTGATGCTTTCCTTGACATCGCAAGGTGGCACGGGGCCATTCAGGTTCTTCATACCTGGTGAAACTCCCATTGTGCACAAAGGGCAATCGAAGTCAAGTTTGGTCCAAACACGGTTGTTTTAGCTTCAGACTTTATGACCTTTATGACCGATGCTCGAACTGAAAGCCCGCCTCTGCCGAAAGGCGGCTTATCATGGTTAACTGCGTAGATTCTCCGGACTTCGTCTTCAAACCTCGACTTCGTCTCGCCGTCACCAAGACTCGAAAGTGTCATTCAGAAAGTCTCGTGCAGAAAAAGCGAAGCTCTCAAAAAACGCTTTCCGTTCTCGGTCTCCTCTTCAGCTGGTCGCCGAAGAAGGTCAAAGTAGGCACATCTGGGCCTGACATCTTGGCATATCTTGGCAATCACGGCCTGAGTCTCGACCTTTTTTGGATAGGGCTGATAGATGTTGATGGGTGTAGGCCGTGAAGGCCGTGAAGTCATCAGGGCAAAAAAGCTGTTGGCTGGAAAGCCCTGGAGGGTTTGGGTTCTTCGCATGATTTGGGAAATTCGGAACAGTGGCCCCAAACCTCTTTCCATTTTCAGAGACTGTGGTAGTGTATGGATTTTATGGATGGCACTGTCAATTTCACACCTGCGAGCTTCAGGTCGGTCTGGATGGCTTGACGTGGAGCACGGTGGGCCTCACAAAAAGCTTTTGCCACGGTCTTCAGTTTGTGTACTTTACGCTGCTCACAATGCAGAACTGATGCTCGGCAGAACTCATTATATGTATATATATATATGTATATATTGACTTTGTTCCTGTATGGTGTTCACACTTTGTGGCTATCAAAGCCACCCATGAGACTTTTCAATTCGCCTGGTCTGCTTTGCGCGGTGCCACAAAGAGCTTAGCAGCAACCAGCGCAGCCAAAGCTGCTAGTAGGATTGGCAGTAGCTCCCGAAGCAAGCCTGCAAACCGCATGCAGTGTCACTAATAATACCGAAGATTGACAGCTGAAACAGGCTGAAAAACGTCACGTCACAGCCTACGCCATCGAAGCTTTGAATCTCCATCATGCGAGGCTAGTGTCAAGGGCAGCTGAATGGAAAGTTACGCATAGAAGCTTGAGATGTACATCATGTACATCTACATATATATATATAGCGGTTGTGATTCCTGAGAGGATCTAGACTTAGAAAGTATATGTTGTTTGCATTAGTGGTTTGCAGTGCGTGACATGACCAACATGCCGTCAAGATATTGATAGAACTACCGAGCTAACGCCCTGTATGGCTTGGTTTGTCCAGGTGTTGGGCGAGAGCTCTTCGAGACGTTCTGAAGCCCCATACGTCTCGAATTTGAGCCAGGACTGGCAAGCAGTTTCACAGTGATTGGAGCCATGTGACCATTTGGAGTTCCCACAATGAATATACTCGTCCTTTAGGCCTTTGACCAACTGCATGAGTTCAAGGCGAGGCTCTGGTTGAGGGGGACGCTCACATCAAGACTTTATGAAAGCCAGAACGCTGGAGGTAAAGTTGCACAAAATAAATTATGCTGTTCGCACGACATTCCCATTTGCACGGCGCATTGAGCGGCAAAGTGCAATCTGCAACACACAATTCCAATACAATACTGTACACTGTACAAAGTCAATGTATATGTCGGGGGACTGTGTGGCTGGTATGGCATCCTTGTCTATTTCTTCAAAGCCTTTCTCCCAGTCTTCATTGGCTGAGTCCCAGCTTCGGCAACCGCAATCATCATATCCACCATGTCTGCGATCCGCACATCCAAGTGACCATCCTTGGCCAAACTTATGACATTGAGCTGTTGCAGCCTCTGCGCATGCTTTTTGCTTGCGCCCTGCCCCTCAGAAGAGTTCTTCCATTTTCTGAGTGATGCTTGGCCCTGAACACGGCGAAACCTCAGTGAAAAGCACCCTGGGAAGCTTTCTGGCTTGGAGGTACATGCGAAAATCTGCAAAATGTGCGCTTGATGTGCTCTTGACTCGCCTCTCTTGCCTCACTCTTACTCGCTACCGCATGCAACAGTTTTGCTCGAATCAGCTCAAGCAGCGCCAAAACGACGCCTTCATTGCGGCCTTCCATCAAATCCTTAGCACCTTGCGCCACCACTTCTGCGTGCGTGGCCTGCTGCAAAACCTCTTCCACAACGTGACACCGTGCAACATCTTGAAGCAAGCGCCTGGCAACACTATGCACTGATGAACCTCCGACCGATTCCCAACAGCTTCAAGCTATTCTCTGCAGTGAGAGGAGGTAATGGCACACATGAAGAAATAAAAGGATGGAAAAGGCACCTCAGAGCAGCGCACATGGAGAGCCGAAACTTTCCTTGGTGCGCGTAACAGGGAAAAATCAAACGTTGTTAGACCCTTGGACCTGCAAGCCGCGTGCAGCCCAACTGACTCAAATGTCGACAATGGCCTGCATTATCTTGCACAAGTTCGCACAATGCCGACTGAGGGTTGCACAGGGAAGCTCGTAAACAAAACGAAGATGCGAAAACGAGCACCACAACGCGCATGACGAAAACATCTAAGTGACCGATACAGGCGAAGGGCAGTGACCGTCGGGGTGCTTTCCCAGTTTGGTAAAAAGGTGAATTCTGCCAGACCTTCCAAGCCGCAGAGAACACCCCCGACCTTGAGTCCCCAAAACTGGAAACAAAAAAAAAGGCACCTAATAGCAATGGCCTCCAACCTAATAGCAAAGGCCTCCAACCTGCTAACGATGGCCTCCAACCTAATAGCAAACAAATGAGCATTTACAGTTTTTGCTGACGAGATTCCATTCAATCCAGGGCTGTATGCCAAACCTTCGTCCTGCAAGCGCTGGATGATCTTGTCCGCCTCTGAAGCTTTCGGCACTTTCAGGACCACGCCAAAGGGAAGCCATTGTTCAAACAGGCCACGGGCGAGGTAATCATAGTAGCCTGGATTGCACATGAGTTCCTTTGCTGCCACTGGCTTGAGCGGATTCAAGCGCAAATTGTATAGAACAAAAACCATTCCGCGGAATTCGGCGGAATTCTCTTTACGGGATTGTATGGTAGCAACCGGACTCTTCTTCCGGGGCAACAGTCTTGATTGGCCTGAGGGGAAAGGACAGAAACGGACGAACGGAAATCTATATTAGTGCTTTGGCAAGGCTCTCCCCACACACCTGAAACAGCATACACAAAACACAAGTGTGTACAGTATCATGTAAATCCACTCAAATGACTGGACATGACCTCTGAAGGGATCTGGTACTGACTTTGGTCGTGTTCAGTGTGAAGGCAAAAACCAAGAAGCGATGGGCAAGGAAACGGCCATAGGCACAAGTAACTTTTATGAATATAAAATACTACTGTGCAGCAAATCCAAGACACAAACGGAGCGCCTTTCCAATTCAACCCCGAGTATTCGAGAAAGTTCTTCCTTTAAGGCGCTTGCATCGCATTCATTCGCAGCAGCTGTGCTGGTGTTTAGGTAAGTGTCAGACTGCCCCACAAAATGTCGGCGGCCAACAAACTCACCGGTATCTAGCTTGCCAAAGCAAGTGCCGTCATATTTGGTGGACACTGACCACAACGGTGTCTCAAGCAAGGTTTGCTCCAGCTCCATTCGTGCGAAGGCCTTCTCCTCGGGCGTGGCCGAGCAGTAGATGTTGATTTGCTCAAAGACCCACTCCTTGGCAAAGCATGAGCAATGCTCTGACATCTCAACAGCAGCTATGGTAATGTCTTGAGAAAATCTTGAGAGCACGTGAAATGTCAATTCGGGACAGAAATCGCCTTTGGATGCCCGAAAGTCAACTGAGGCTGATACAGATTGTGCGTCTAAGCTTAGATAAATGTGGGACTGTGAGGATGCGAGGCCGTGGATGCAACCGAGCGTCGGGATAATTCTCGATACTTGGCCAAGAAAGAACGTTGTCCACATCTGCAGGCTTGTTGCTTGGTTTGTCGACTGGTTTGTCACTGAGGGTGCCCCTTTTCCATGCACCATAGATCTTGCCAATACTCTGCGACACCTTTGCTGGGCAATGTTATGAAGAACGTCCAACTTTGCCCACTGCATGCTCTCTTGGGCCTTTTCTATCGTATCCCACTGTCAGAAATGTGGCTGTGCTGCTTACACTGAACCCCTCTCGTTTGATTGGTGTAATTTGGGATTGGGCTGCATCATAGTATTGTTCTTCCCTGTGCTTGCACCGGGAAGAAATAGTCAAAACATTTTCTCCTCAAGGACTCAAGGCGTACCGTAGGGTCACTGATGCAGAACCCTGACAAACGCTCACAAAAATGTAGTGCCTTTTATCAAATTTCGTATCCTACATACTATTGCCCTTCTCTTGGGACTCTGACGGGCATACTATATTGTGCTACAAGTATCCCCTATGCACATCTGCCGTCCAGGCACAAACTTGACGAACTCTTTGTGGCGTAAATCATTGCCCAGCAAATGTGCAAAGTCTTGATCCTGGCGCATTTCATCCAAAAGCATTGCAATCACCTCCTGAACACTCACGCCGCCAGCGAAGTAAGCACTCCTGGGCGATGGCGGTGGTGGACATGTCTGCAACACGACTGCCGAAGCTGGCTGAAGGCTTCGCACGATTAAATACATCCAGGACATTCCAAGTTTCAAACTGTCAAACTTGGTGAGGGCGCTCTTGAAGGCAACGGAAAGGCTTTCATGGAAGGGCTCGCCATCATGCTCGCACATATCAACAAAGATTGAATGAGCTTGAGCCAAATCTGCAGCGAGCGAATTTGGAAGCCTTTGGTTGGCTGGCAGAATGGACCACGAGTTGGCAAGCATATGCTGTTACAGAATGAGGGGCGGCTTGCAAGCTGTTTACATGACTTTCCTTGATCGATTCGGGAACTCTCGTGGTCAGCTCAACGGATCTTCATTCCGTGCCCTGTTTTGCCATCGACTTGGTTGCTATTGTGCACCGCACTATGCACCACCTGAAACAGTTCTGGAAGGAGTTCTGTCTCCCCAGTCGTCTTGTTGCAGTGTCTTTGCACTTGGAGCCGTCAGTGACCAGTGGAAATCGGATGCCTTTGTCCTGGATGCAGGTGCCGATGTCTTCTGGATGCCTCCTCCAGGTAAAGCAGCCAAGGAACATGCAAAAATCTGATGATCTTGGTTGTGAATTCGGATCCATTCAATCCACCATGCTTGTTGGGCATGTGATGGCACATGACAGCGAAATGCATGGGCGGCCTTTCAAGAAGACCAGTCTTCTACCGTCGACGGGTCCAAACTCGACCGTCAGGAAAGCGCAGACCATTGCCACTAACCCAGGTGACAATCACGGCAGTGGGGCCTCCTACAGTCACAGCGTGTTCTCAAATAACCTAGTGCCAGTGCAAGTTAGCAGCTACAAGTTTGTTCAATCCACCGGATGAAGCTTTGGTCCTCTGGATGAGAAGTCCACCAGCAACCTCAATATCGCAGCTTTTGCAGCGCAACTACTCACACGAGAAGGAAAGCCAGGAAAAGCCAAGCAACCCGAACGGCAAAGAACTGGAATACCATCAGAAAAGTATGTCTAATTAAACAAAAGTCAAAAGCAATATATCAATCCACAAAATCCCAAAAACCATCGCGCCAAATCAGCAGGAAACAGTACCATCAACATTGTAGTCCCACTTGAAACATGCACTGGCGGAGCGTTTTTGACCAGTGCACCTCACCTCAGTGAAATCCCGGA